AAAGGGTTCCACACAAGTTAACTTTAGAGCTGGGTTCCAGAGTTAGATATCATAAACAACCACCAAAGTTTCATCCTTTGGGAACAATGGGGCTCTTCCTCTCTATGCCGTGGGGAAACTGTGGGCTCAATGTTAAACCCTTTTGGGGGTGTGCACCTACCCGCCTGAAGGTGTTCAGGCTGGGCAGAGAAGGCGCCACAGGGAAGAGGAGGAAAAAATGTACAGAATTCCTCCACACTTTCTTTTGCATATGTTGCTGCACCAATTTTAGTGCCATTTCACTGTATAGGTCAGGCTGTGGCCTTGTCCTCTGAAGTCAGCCTGGCCAAGGTGGCCACAAACGGAGTCCCGTGTCCTGATTGATTCTTAAATCACAATATTTTCCTTTATACAATGAGTTTTTCCAACAATGGGTGTGGGAAACTGACACCTTGAACCTTATGCTTGATCCAGAGCTCTGGTGCTGTTCCATGAAAGCAGCTTCTCTGAGTTTTCATCCCTTCCCCCATTGAGCCTTTCCTACCTCACTCTGCTTCTGCTGCCTCCAAAATCAGAAGTCTATAGTAATCTTTTAAAGTTTAAGTCAAATGATATCACCTTTCTCCTCACAATCCTGCAAAAGCTTCTTATTTCACCCAGAGTCAATCTTGCAGCTTGTCTCCTCTTCTGTGACCTTTCTCCTCTTGCCCACTTTACTCCAACCACAGTTGGACTGATATGATTGCATGGATGGAGTGAACATTCCCTTAAATTTAATCAACACTGACTTACGTGAAAAATTGTATCGATCTTCAACATAATGAAAAGCTTTTGGATATGACCTATGAGAAAGGCACATAATAACTTCTGGAAACAATCAGAGCATTTTCTCCAGAAGCCAAAATAATCATTGTTCTCATGAAAACTGTTTCTCAATTGAAGATAATGATAAGCTTTATCTAGGAGGCATATATATGTATTATATTCCTGTTTTTGTGTGTGAAATAGTCTTTTTTTTTAAAAGTCTAAGTATCTTTTCTAGAACATAGTTATATTTAACTGCTGGAAGTTGATTAAAATTATAACTGATAGTTATAATTATTTATTTTTATTTAGACAACCATTTTTAATCACAAGAGAACTCATCTTGAGATACAACCATACACAGAATCTACGGGAGAAGGAATATTTAAGGGAAATTATTAGAAAAAATATTCTTAGATGTAAGGTAATGGTACACTATTTGATTCCCTTTGTATGTGAAATGTCTTTTGTACCTGGTGGATGGTTCCAAAAAGCAAACCTAACCCTCTGCTATTGAGTTGATAACATCTTGACTCATAACAACTCTATTGGGCAGAGCAGAACTATTCCCAGGGTTTCTAAATCTTTGCAGAAATAGACAGCCTCACCTTTTTGGCATGGTGGATGAGTGTTGTTAAGTGCCGTAGAATTAATTTTTCACTCATAGCTACCCTGTATAGGGTTTTAAAGATTGTAAATCTTTGTGGGATCAGAAAACCTCAACTTTTCCCCTTGGAGCATTTGGTGGGCTTGAACCACTGATCTTTTGTAGTCTGGAGCTTACCCTTCACATCCATTGCTTTCCCGTGGAGAATGATTACATGTTCTAAAATATTAGAAAAAATACTAAGGGGCTTCATAAAATTCATGTAAAAATTTCATTACTCTAGAAGTCCATTTTCCATTGACTTTTTGAAGCACCCTCATATACATATGCCCATTTTTTTAGATATAAATAGTCAAAGTTAGAATAATACAAATTAAAATGAAAGCTTACAATCAAATAATTCAGTGTTAAATGACTTACTGAATGAAAGTTCCCCATAAATTACTTGAGAATCTAACTGTTGAAACCAGTCCACGAGCCTACAGCAAAATATCAAAGACTGGAAAATAAATCTTCCATTATGAAAATATCACTTTATCCTAAAAACAGTTAACTAAGAAATGATATGACTCAATAATGAAACAAAGCCTTTCAAATTATTTACTACCCACAAAGACAATACTCTTTAATGAACTGTTTTTCACTTAGCTTATGATAAATAAAATCTTTAAGAGTATTAATTCCCCTAAATTTAAACAAGTATACAAAAAGAACAGGAAGTGAAATATATCCTTGCTTTTTCTTTTCTACCTTAAATTCAGCTGAAGTTTGCCATAGAAATACTATACATGCTGTTTTACTTTTATATCAAACTATTAATGAAATAAAAGCTGCATAAAGATGCTTTGTAAATAAAGTCACCTGTTTGTTTTGTTATTTTGGTTCATATTGTTGTTGTTGTTAAGTGCTGTCAAATTGGTTCTGGCTCATAGTGACCCTGTATAGGGTTTCCAAGGAGCAACTGGTGAGTTTAAACCACCAACCTTGCAGTTAAAACAGACTTTGCAGTTCGGCACATTAACCCACACTGCCATACTAGGTTCATAGTTGCCTGTACATTTAAAAATTTTGAAAAACCTGTTTTTTAAAATGTGATTTGAAAGAAAAGACCATACTTTTGATACATAATGCATGCAGGCAGGTGCCAGGAAGAAACTCTTCAGTGAGCTCTGACTGAATGGCAGATTGTCCTTGAGGAATGGGCTCAATAAGGGAAGATGGGTGAGGATACCAGACAATGCTGGTTATCTCTGTCATGTTCATTGGCATTGATTCATCTGAACTGAAGTAGTCTGAGTTGTCCAGAAAATTGGCATCAAAGGAGTTTCTATTTAATCACATTTCCTCAATAATTTTCTCTTATAGATTAGAGATGTAATCTCTTTGAGATAAATGAGATGAAAGTAATTCTTAGAAAGAAAAGAGAATAAATTATTTAAAGAAAATAATTAATGATACTGCTCAGATTATTAAGGAGCCCTGGTGGCATCGTGGGTTACACCCCTGCCTCTCTATAGGAGTAAGATGAGGTTTTATATTTCCACAAAGATTTGTAGCCTCAGAAACCCTAAGGAGCAATTCTACTCTGCCTTATAGTATCGCTATAAGTCAGAACCGACTCATACCAGTGGGAATTGAGATTCAGAATATTAAATATTTCCCACAGTTTAGCACAAAATCCCACCCACTATTTGCCATCTAGTGGAGTCTGACTGATAGTGACTCTGTAGGACGGACTTGTTAGGTGTCATCGAGTTGGTTCCTACAGAGTGGAACTGCCCAATAGGGTTTCCAAGGCTGTCAATCTTTAGAGAAGCAGATTGCTTCCCTCATCTTTCTGCTATGGAACAGCTGGTGTGTTTGAACAGCTGACCATCAGGTAGCAGCACAATGCCTAACCCACTGCACCATCAACATGAATACAATTTACATAAGATGTCAAACTAATAAAATAATAAAAATAAATATTATATAGTCTTACATAGTCTGGCCACAAAGCTTCACCTTCACAGAATGTCTGTCAAAATGTATATAATCAAATAAGTAACAAAAAAGCTATATATTTTAGATTTGCCTCTTTCTTGCTTCCTCATTACAGAGAAAATTGGGTCTCAAAACCTTAGGCTCTGGGAAGCATGTGAATATTTCTACTGGGTGGATTGAAGCAACATATCTGGCTCAATGCAAGGGAGACATCCAAGAAGGTATGTGCTTTAACTAAGCTTTTTTACTGACTCTGTTGTCTACAGTAGCAGTAAAGGCATTGTTTGAGAGCTTGAATTTCTGGAAATTATGCAGGAGCCAAGAAAAGTTTGCTTTTATCTGTCAAAATTTTATATAGTGTTTCATTATAAAACTAATTTTGTGATTTTGAATTTATGAATTTGATGTCTCAGCTTTTTGATTAGAAAATTGTATTGAAAACATTTTCTCAGCATAATCTTTATGACTTTTTAGGGCTTCATGCCAGTTCAAAGTCCTGTTACTTTTTTCTAAAATTTGTAACTAACTGAGAAGCAATATAAAATGTCATTTAGTGATTTTGAATTGCAACAGGCAGTATACTTTCGAGAAACTTGTCCCAAAAATTTTAAATTCTTACTCAATAATGTTAATCAATGGCCATTTGTTTTTCAAGTTGACTTTAAAAAGCAACATTTATTCATTTCTTTTTAATTTGTCGCTTCCCTTTCATAAGTTTCATTTCAAACTACCCTCCAACCAAACTCAAATAGAAATTAAAAAAAAAACACACACATTATTTTTAAAGGGATAAATTCACTGCGGTCTAATGCGCTAGTATGCAAAGTTGTTTGAACCACAATGTCGGTGGTTCAAGCTCATTAGTTCCTCCTTGGAAACCCAATACAGGGTCACTGTGAGTCAGAACCGACTCAACGGCACTTAACAACAACAATCATTATCTTACATTTAATGTGTATGCCTTTTAAAATGAATTTTAGAAAGTTAACTGCATGAAGTCAGAATATTTTCCCATATAAACTTATTTTGTCATTCTATCTGGGAGCTTCCAAGCAATAAATTTTGTATTTATTTTGTTTTTATGACACTTTTTCAGAATGCCATCCATAGCCTGACCCCTATTAAATGTTTAATTATATTGGTGTAGACACTCTTCATTGCCCAAACCCAAACCCCAAACCAAATCCATTCATAGTTACCAAATGGTGGTGGTGGTTATGTGCCATGGAGTCAGAACCAACTCATAGCGACCCTGTACAGGGTTTCTGAGGCTATAAATCTTTAAGGGAGCAGAAAGCCTCATCTTTCTTCTGCGGAACAGCTGGTAGTTTCGAACTGCTGACTTTGGGATTTGTAGCCCGATTCATAACTGCTATGCTACCAGAGCTCCTTAGTTACCAAGTAGGACAAAGTAAAACTGCTCCTGAGGGTTTCAGAGATTGTAAGTAAGTCTTTATGGGAGCAGACAGCTTTATTGTTCTCTCATGTGGCTGATGGATTTGAAATGTTGACCTTGCACAGCTAGCAGACAACACTTAACCCACTGTGCCACCAGGGGTCCCAGTCAGCAGTTAATTCCTCTTCAATATCAATTAACTTTATGGCACTTAACAACAACCACAACACCAATTAATTGTCAGTTATGTTTAGATCCCTAAGTGGTGCAAACAGTTTGTGCTCAACTGCTAAACTAAGGGTTGCCACTTTGAACCCATCCAGTGGTACCACAGAAGAAAAAATCTGGAAATCTGATTTCATTGAGATTGCAGTCATGAAAACCCCAGTAAATAGTTCTAATCTCTAACATATAGAGCTGTGGGGTTTTCTTTTTTGTTATTGTTCAGATATCTTGCAGTGATATGATTGAGAAAAAGATTGGCCTTACTCAGCCCCAAAGCCTGATTTGTGGATGGGCTAAACTAGTCATGGCAATTCCTTTTCATTAGTCAGTTATTGGATTAGGGGTGGCCACATGATCTGGTTTTGACCAAAGAAATGTAAGCATAGATTTGTTTTTGGTTGACTTGTTTTTAAAAAAGACATGCCTAGAGAGAAGCACCCGTTTCTCTCCTCACCCCTCATTCTGTTTCCATGTTAACTACTTTGTATAAGAACACAATCCCTGCAGTTTGTGTAGTTTTCACAGTTATACACATCTAGAGGAGCTAGAAGATGAAAAAAAAAAAGTGCATATAAAAGGTAATTATATCAACTAGTCCTGGAACCTTCCCAATTCTGATCTTGTGAAATAGCAAACATCCTTGTTTTGAAGGCACTTAAGGTTGAGTTTTCTGTCACATACAGCCTAAGTATTTTTAACTCATTCAGATATTGAACTCTAAATCCCATTGAAAGAACTCTTTGCCCAATTGTGATTCATAGGATAGTGTAGAACTGCTCCACAGAGTCTCTGAGACTGTAAATCTTTATAGCCTCATCTTTATCCTGCATGAACTCTAAATTTAAAGTATTTTTAAAATGTTCTAAATAACATCCTAAATAAAGTTTATCTAACTGGCTCCATAATTGAAATATTCTCCTAATTGGTGTCTTGCTTGTAGTCTTGCCCACTTCTTGTTCTACAGTTCATCCATCATCAGAAGTGAACATTGTTATGCTTAAATAAGTTCCTGTGTCTTTTGATTACAGTTAAAATGAGTTCAAACTCCATATTATGACCTACAAGTCTCTGTATGGTCTGGTCCCTGGCTACCTTATCTATCCATTTTGCTTCAGCTACATTTTCCTCCTCTTTGTCACTTGAATATGCCAGGTTTTTTCCTTAAATCCTTGCATTTGCAGTTGTCCCCCAGATATTTACATAGCAGTTTCTCAAACCTTTGTAATGATTTGAGGTACTATTCTTTCTAGATTTTTAGCTCCATGTTCTTCGTTTTCAGCTATGCCTGGTCTACTTTCCTTTGTCTCTATTCTCTAGTCTTTTGCTCTTCTCTTTTTTGCCACTTTTTAATACTATTTTTTATTATACAGTTTTGTTCTATTTTCTATCATGATATAGGTGGAGTGGTGATTAATTTAATGTTAGCTGAAAACTTAGGCTTCTCAAGCATTTCTCTTTATATAGTCTTTTTGCTTGGTGACTTCTGGGTAGTTGGACTTCCTACTTGGCACCTTAGGCTTCCAAACTTAGTATATTAAGAGTGGCAGACTCAGAAAGAAGCCTTATTGCCTGTTCTTATCTGTGTCAGCTCTGTCATATTCTATTGGTTGAAACAGTAACAGACCTTACTCAGGCTCAAGGGGAAGGAACATAGACTTTACCTCTTGATGAGAGATTGCTGCAGCTGCTGTGACTACTGCATGTTATCTAGTCAGTCCTAACTCATAGCAACCCTGTATAGGGTTTTCAATCCTGTAATTCTTTACAGGAACAGAAGACCTCATCTTTCTCCTATTGTAGTGACTGGTGGATTCAAACTGCTGACCTTGCTGTTAGCAGCCCAATGTGTGTAACCCATTACACTACATATGTACAAAACATTTGTAATATGTTTTAGATTTAAGGAAACTTGGTGGTGCTTTGGTATAAGCACTAGACAGCTAACCACACATTGGCAATTCAAATCCTCCAGCTGCTCTATAGGAGAAAGATGAGGTCTGCTTGTTAAAGATTTACAGTCTTGGAAACCCTATAAAAGGACTCAGTGGTGATTGGCTAGGCAGTTTGGGCTTTATGTTTGCAACTTGGTTCTGGTGAGTGAACAAATAACTGATTGCAAGAATTAATCATGTCGGAGGACTTCCGGTGCTTCCCTGACCAGGCAGCACAGATATGTGGGCTCGGGAGAAAGTAGGGGGCAGTATCACAAAGAGGGTCCCCCGCCTGGCAGACAGACAGCTTTTGGGCAAACATAAAACATTAGGCTTCAACTTTATGAATTTGTTTTTTTTAAGGATCAAACTATTGAGGAGTTACGAGCATTTTGAGCTTCCACACGCCTGCTCCCAGCTCCCATCCTAGGGACGGCCCCACCCACTGCAGAACTTAGCAGGGCTTGAGCAGACCCATCCAAAGGGTGGACGCTCTCAGAGAGCTAGTGGGACGCTCTCAGAGAGCCACAGGAACCAACATAGTCCATCCCAGGGGGGTCCTCATTGCCACATTAGGCATTACCAGCATGTATATAGGGCAAATTGGGGGGCTCAAGGCACAGGGAGACAAAG